CGCCGGGGTCCCCGCGGGGGCCGCTCCCCGGGGGCGTCGTAGCGTGTGCACGCTCCCGACGCGGAGCCCGAGGCCACGGCAAGTGGACGCGCAGCCTCCATGGTGAGCGAGGCCAGCTCGGGCAAGCCCCGCGGAACGGCAGGCCTGCACCTGGAGGCCGGAGGCGACAGCCGAGCGGGCCTCCGCGCCCGTGCACTCTACGTGGGGGCTGTTGGAGAGTTCTGCAGGAGGGCGCGTGGCCAACGCCATGGTACCCTGAAGCTGGACGGGCGCTGTCGGGATCTCAGACCCCAGGTGCAAAAACGCCCAGGCGCCCCACCCTCAGGCCCGCACCAGGCCCTGGCCATCCGCAGGCCTTCTCCTGATACTGCTCCTCTCTGGGTGCCACCCTCCGCCACGCCCTGGTGCTCACAGCTTTGGGAAACGGTGCCTCAGTTTCCCCACCTGAGAGATGGATGGCAAGGGGTCTTCACCCGCAGAGAACACAGGAGGGGTCTGCTGTCCACTCATCTGACCCGCCCCCAGCATCCCTGTGGCTGGCTCCCACAGGGGGTGTCTCTGCCCCCAGCGGCATGCACCACACGCCCAGAACTGATTCCTGGGCTACAGGAACCCAGCCCCCAGTTATTCCGCTTGAAACCTCAAAATGTCCCCAAGCCCCTTCTGACATAGCCGGGCCACGGCCTCGTGTCTGGGTGCATGTCCACTCAGAGCCTCTGGCAAAGCCTTCCCATACAGGGAGACCCTGTCACCCCACGGGGACCCACTGGGCCAGGGCGCCTGCTACTCCCAGCCCTCAGCCCCCAAAACCCCCAAGAAGGGACTCGGGGGTGACAGCGAGAAGCAAGACGCAGAGACCAGCAAGCCCTGTAGGGACATGCGTTTATCCAGCTGGCCACCGCTAGGTGGCCGTCCCCAGGGGCAGCACCCTCGCTCCCTGGAGACCAGCTCCTCGGTGGCCAGCCCTGGCGGTGCCCAGCTGGGTGGGGCGTCCTCTCCAGCCTGGTGTGTTCACTGCCTGGCTGCCTCCGCCTGCCACACCAGCTCGCCAGAGATGTAGGTAGCTCGCACATGGAGGGCATCATCCAGCACCACGAAGTCTGCGGAGGCGAGGGTGAGGCGCGGGCACCCCGCCCCGCCCCGCCGGCCCACCCCACCCCAGCTGGTGGGAGAACGCGGTCTGGTGGCTGCAGCTGCCAGAGGCCTGGAGCCAATACTGCTGACAGCAGGGGCGGGGCCCTCAGCTGGCCGTCTCGGTTCCAGACAGTCCAGGCTGATGGACCAGGCCAGACTCAGGCAGGTGCCGCCGCCCCAGACACCCATGTCTTCAGGCTACCCCGCCGTCCTGCATCAGCCCTGACCTGCGTCGGCCCCAAAGTCCAGGGTCCCCTTGCGCTTCTCCAGCCCCAGCAGCTGGGCAGGGTGCAGGGACGCGGCCTCCAGGGCAGACTCCACGCTGCAGCCTGCTCCGGGGACACAGAGGGTGACCGTCCACGAGCCCCAGCACGCTGAGGCCTGGCCTGGCCGTACCCTGGCAGCCACGGGGACACCGTGTGGGCCCCTATTCCCGGCTGTTCGCCCCTCCGGGGCAGGTAAGGGGAGTCCTGAGCGGTGAGCGCAGTAGCGTTCTAGGCCCCAAGTGCCCCTCCCAGGTCCCAGGCAGAGGACCCCCCATGAGGTGTGACCTGGGCGTCCAGGCAGCCCCGGCACCGGAGTGCTGCCCACGCCCTGCGTGTCTCCCTGCCTCCGCCTGAGCAGCCCCAGGGGCCCAAGGGCCCACGCCTCCGCGGACCCCTTCCGGCCGTTCCCAGGGCACTCCACCCCGAGAGCCCCCAGCAGCCCTCAGGGCCCGACCTGGGGCCCAGCGCCGAGCATGTCCTGGCCCCTGGGAACCCTCGGATGGAGGGCCCTGACAGCCCCCATTCTTCCTCCCGCCCCAGACGCGCCCGGCCCCTGACCCCCTCACCTGTGGCCTGCAGAAAGTGCCGGACACAGACGTCCATCGGGGCGATGCTGCCGCTCAAAGTCTTGGTGCCTGGGGAACAGGGGGGAGCAGGTGGAGGGGCTGGGCCGGGACGCAGGGGGTGCGGGCACCCAGGCCCGCCAGGGGCAGCTGCACATGCGGCCGCTCACCTGCCACGTAGGCGGTCAGCCCGTCCACCTCCACCTCCTGCTGTCCCAGCGTGTGCCGGCCATTGCCCAGACCCAGGGCGGGGACAGCATCCGTGACCAGCACCAGCCCTGCAGGGGAGGGGACTCAGGCCTTGCCACGCCCAGCCCCTCGCCCAGCCCCCGCCGCCACTGCCGCCCACCCTGGGGGTGCGCCCGGTGGGCGATGCGCAGGGCAGCCGGGTTGGTGTGGATGCCGTCGGCGATCATCCCGTAGAAGATGCGGCGGCCGGGGGGCAGCTGGTCACTGGTCAGGAGCCCCACGATGCCCGGGTCCCGGTGGTGAAACTGGGAGGAGCGGGCAGGCGACTGAGCCCCGGCAGGCCCCAGGCGCCCGCGCCCGGCCCGGCACTCACCGGCAGCATGGCGTTGAAGAGGTGCGTGATGAAGGTGGCCCCGCTCCGCACAGCCTCCTCCGCTGCCCGCAGGTCAGCCACCGAGTGTCCTGCGCGGGGACAGACTCAGCCCCAGAAGCCTGCCTGGGGGCCCGGCCGGCCGGCCGCACGGGGCGCCCTCACCTAGGGACACGCAGACGCCGCGGGCCGTCAGCGCCTGGATCACCTCGTGGCTGCGGTCCAGCTCGGGCGCCAGCGTGACGATGCGGACGTTGTCCAGGGGCCCGTAGGTGGACAGCACGTCGTGGAAGGCGTTGCCCTCAAAAGAGCGTAGGTGGGCCTCAGGGTGTGCACCCCGCTTCTCGCGGCTGATGAATGGGCCCTCCAGGTGCACCCCTGGGAGAAAGGGAGCCGATGGCGCCAGCAGCCCCCACCAGAGGCGCTGTCCACCCCTCGCCAGCCCCCTCCCCAGTCAGGCATCTGGGGGGAGTGCTGGTCCCCAAGGAGTCCCCGGGGTGGGGGCAAGCAGGGGGGTCAGCCACTCACCGAGGACCCCAGCCCCACGGGGACCACCACTCCTCACGGGGATCTGAGGAAGGACCTGGGGGGATCCAGCTGTCAAAGCCCTGCCCCACACCCCAGTGCCCAGAGCTCACAGCCCCACAAGCCTGCTGGCCCTCGGCTGAGGATGTCTGAGGCCCGGGACTCAGGGCGGGCAGCGGCCGGGATGGGCAGTGGCTAGGGCGCAGGGACACGGGGGAGCCCCAGGCCTCGAGTGCACTCTGGCCCCGGCGCAGAGGACAGTCGGGGGACTGGAGAACCTGCGGCATGGGAGGCCGGCGGGGTGCAGGCCCGGCGGAGCTGAGGCGGACGGGCGAAGCCCCAGCCCAGAGCTGGGCGGCACGGGGGGGCAGCCGAGTGTGACAGGCACCCCACCTCTCCTGAGGAGGCCGGGAGGGCCCAGCTCCCCGCAGCCTCCCCTCGGCCTGCCCACCCAAAAGTGAAGGGGCTTTTCTGGGGCTGGCGGAGAGCGGGGCCACACACCGTGGGGGACAGCAGGGGCAGGCCCCGCCCACCGGGCTCAGCCTTGGGGCGCCTGGCCCTGAGAAATAGGGGTACTGACAAGAGGAGCTGGGCCCCTGCAGGCCTGCAGGGAGCGCTGGAGGGTGGGCGAGTGTCTCCTGGGCAACCTGGGGCGCCGTGGGGCACCTCCTGGGCCCGCTGGCAGCTGGAAGCTTCAGGAGGAAACACAGGGCGGAAGCCCGGGGGGCCCTGGTAACCCCGGCCCAAGGCCCCGCAGCGTGAGGCCAGGCTGGCGCTGCGAGGCCCCCACGGGAGACGGCGCCCAGCGGACACCGAGAGGAACTGGCAGGCAGAAGCCCGGGGATGGCCGCGAGGCCAGTCGGGGCCCCGAGGCGGCAGGAGCCGACCGGGAAACGGTCAGGGGCGCCCTGGAGAAAGGAAACATGAAGCCGCACTTCTGGCGGGCCGGCCAGCAGTGGCCAGACCCGGGGGAAGGGCAGGCCCCACAGGCTGCCAGAGCGCCGGACAGGCCCCTGCAGAGGCCCAGGGCACCTGGCTCCTGACTCCTCAGCAGCCCCACATCACGAGACCACACAGCAGGGCCTGTGCGGGGCCCGCCAGGCATGAGGCGGCCCCCAGACACGCTCCCCCAACAGGCAAAGCTGGGGAGGGGGGGTGTCTCCCCAGGGCAGGGGATGCTGCGGGACTGGCGGCCGGCGCGGCGGCGGGCCCCAGGCTGTGGGCGGAAGAGGGCAGCGACAGGCCGCTGCGTCCAGCGCTCGGGAGGACGGCGGACGCCGCAGAGCGCCAGAGCTGGGCCTGGCACCTAACAGACCACGCAAAGAAGGACGCCGAGCCTGGGGAACGGCGGTGGGCGCGCGCTGGCAGGCGAGGGCGCTGTGGGAGGCGCCACCAGCCCACAGCAGCTGCACGGGCGGGAGGGGCTGGCACACCCGTGCCACCCGGACTGGGCCGTCCCGCACCACCAGTGCGGCTGAGCGGAGGACAAAGTCCAGCAGCGTCAGCCACTCTGCAAGTGACTGTCCCTGGGTGGGGACGGGCGGGGCGGCGCTGGCAGCCCTCGAGGAGCCGCCGTGTGTACTCTCGCCCGAGGGGGACGAGACACAGCCCAGTGTCCTCAAACGCACGCCAGGGGCCCAGGGAGCGAGGGCCACGTGCGCTGCAGAGCTGTGGCCAGGACGGACGGCGGGGGACCGGCCACTGACTCAGAGATAGGGCCTGAAGGGGCCCAGGCCGGGCTCCCCCCAGGCAGGAAGGGGAGCCCGGACACAGGGCAGGGGCCTGTGAGCTCGGGCCGGCCTCCGTGGGGGACCCACCGTGCCGCGTGAGGGCCCTGCAGGGAGAGGGGTCAGCGGCTGCGAGTCTGGCGAGCGTCTGCAGTGCCCGGGACAGGCCTGGTTTCCAGCCACCGGCTCCCACAGGCGCCTCGCCGGCTCCTCCCCGCCTCCCGAGGCTTCTACCTGTACGCAAGTGTGGGCCGTGACGGGCCAACAGCCAGACGCTCCCCGGAGGTGACAGGGAAGGGCGGAAGGTGCCCGCGGAGGGCACAGGCTGACCAGGCAGGAGGGTCGCCATCCTCGCAGTGAAGGGAGAGGCTTCGAGAGGGCAGGGGCGTGCTGAGTGCTGTGTCCCCGAGGGGAGCCCAGGGTGGGGCCAGAGGCAGGGAAGGGCAGAGCAGAAAGCAGGCACGAAACCAAGCCCAAGTCAGGGCCAGCGGCAGGGCACGTGGGGGACCGAGAGCTGCGCCCACCAGCGCGCTGCAGGCCAGGAGGCGGCTCCAGGCCCCCGCTCGCGGTAGGGCTGAGACCCAAAGGTCGGAAGGGGTGAAGGGTTGAACAGCCAGCTGGCCGCAGGCCCACCTCCGGTGGTGTCCACAGGCGGCAGGAAGCCCTACGGGGCGCCGGCTCTGGGGACTGCCTGAGAAGGGCATGGCACGGGTTCTGACCCTGGCCACGGCGCGTGGGGCAGCACGTCCAGGCGGAGACACCAGGCAAGGACCCCGGGAAGCACGCGCCCTGACCACAGGTCGGGGGCAGCACGTCAGAGCAAAAGTGGGGGCCCACGTCCAAAGGAAAATGCACCAGGGACTCCGGCTGGCCCACGGGGCCACATGCTACAAGGGAGAGCCCGGCCGGCCAGGGCAGCCCAAGGCGGCGCCCAGCGACCCTGGGTGAGGAGGCAATCTCACTGCTGCCGCCACAGTGAGGGCCGGGAGGGCGAGCAGCAGGTGGAGGGCGAGGGTCCTGGGCCCAAAGGCGGCCGGGGGCTCCCCCAGGGGCCCAGGGTGTGAGGGGAGAATATCTCAACAGAGGTCTCAACAGCCCGGGGCTGGGCGCTGGGCCCCACCCCCACGAGGGAGTCACAAGCTCACCTTGTGATAAACCTCCGGCGGGGACGTGACCAAAGTGGGGCAGAAGGAGGTGACTCCGTGGGCCAGGATCCTCCGGGCCACCAGGTCGACCCCTGAGCCCACGTCCTCCGTTGCCTGTGAGAAGTCCACGCCAAATCCACCTGAGGGCACGGAACACAGGGGTCGCACGGTGCTCCGAGGTCCTCCGGAGCCCCCCTCTCCCCGGCCGGGCCGCACCGTTGATCTGCACGTCGATGAAGCCCGGCGCCAGGATGCAGCCGCCGCAGTCCCGCTGCTCGTCGGCCAAGCGCCGCTCCTCAAAAAACAGCTTCTCCGGGTCCAGAATGCGGCCCCCGCGCACCCACAGGTCCTCCCTGCGGACGGGCGGCTCGGCTCGGCTCAGCCCCGTCCCCGCCCCCGCCCCGGCCCCGGCCTTTGGTTAGTCTTTCGCCTTTCAAGTACAGGATCCTTTTTGTCCCCTGCTGCGTGCGGTGTCAATTTCCGAGCGGAAGTGGCGGTAGACTGAGAGAAGAAGATGGCGGCCCCTGCAGTCTTGCCGCCTGGTGCGGTGACAAGTCGGGCTAACAAACGAAGCGGCAGTG